CCTTTGTGTTGGCTGGGTGGAAATTACGCAACAAGCAACAGCCCCTGCTCGTCATTTTAATTGCCACTGTACTCAGGAAAGGTTCTTCCTTTTTTTCCTTCTTCTTTTTTTCTTTTTGTTGTTTTTGTCCCCCAGTGAAGCATTTAAAAACTGGGAAAGGGATGTTTTGTTGTCTAACGTGTGGGTGAGAGGAGGAGGCATGAAATTGCAGCGAGGCTGAAATCCTACAAAGTGAAGTTTCTGTTACTTGCTGCATGTTTTCAGCTTTTCGTGCTTGATTGGACACAAAATGGTGCAGCAGAACTTTTTTTTCCTTCCCTGCTCTAATTATGCAGCAGGAATGTTGCTGATGTAAAATTGTTTGGGATGAGAAAAGGAGCAGTGTTTCAAGAATATTCAGGCAAAGGTTAACTACGGTTTTTGCCTCTCTCTGTGTGTCTGTTAGCAAAATATCTCCTAAAGAGCTGTATGGATTTTATTGAAACTATCAGGTAATAATCACTAAATTTACCTTTACAGCTGATAAACTTTTGGAGTCAGTCTGATTCAAGATGGCTGCTACTGCTAACTAACCTTAGTAAACATAAAACACATTACAATTCAGACAGTTTCACAGATGTTGAGCTAAAATTTGTTGTAGGGGTAGCTGCGAGTCATACCCAACACATATTCTAAGCACTATACAGGGCCCAAGGGTTTTTTGCTTAAAACTTCAACATTAATTATTGGAGTCAGTCCTGGTTGTCTGTTAGCAAAAATACCCCATAAATCATTGGATGGATTTTAATGAAATTTTTAGAGAGTAAAAAAATGGATGTACAACTAGAGCTAATTAACTTTTGGGGTCGATCAAATTCAAGATGTCCACCACAGCTTATCAACAATAGAAAAACCCAAAATTGGCTGCAGCTCAGTGGATTTTACAGAAACTGAGCTGATATTTGATCTGGTGGTAGCTGACAGTTATTCACAGCACATAGTCTGAGTGTAACAGCCTGTGATATTGCATGATGTTTTTATTTTATTTTTATTTTATTTTAGGTTTGATCAAATTCCCTAACTTCTAATCAGAAAGCMTAATTTAAAGGCGGGGCAACGTCGGGCAATATGCATTCATTCTTTTAAGGAATGCTAAAACTTTATGGCTTTAGGCTTTGTGTCTCTGCTAAATAAAATACTTATCTGTTTGTATATTTTCCTTGCACTTGTGTGTGTGTGTGTGTGTGAGCGCGCGCGCGTGATCTCGAATGAAAAACAAACTGTGCGTCGTGCCTCTCAGGTCGGTGGAGAGCTGCGCCTCTCAGCTGAAGTGTGATTCAGTTTTAATGAGATGGAGGTGAAAGAGGAGCCGGCCAGCCTCCACAGCGTGCCAGCCACAAACAAAAAGTAGATTTTTGTTTGTTTGTTTTGTTTGTTTCATTTTCTCACCAGCCTAAAATTAGCTTTAGTTTATTCTAATAACAAAATCCAAGTGCAGCTCTGAGGGGATGCCATCCATGCGTCCAAATTAAATCTGTTTTTTTTTTTTATGTTTTACTCGTGCTATCGCAGCGATTTTTTTAAAATGTGTGCATTCTGGATGTGATTTTTATTCTGTTGGAACAAACAAAGCCTCTCCAGGTTTGTGAGAGCAGCGCGTCATTCTTTCAGTGGAGGAGCAGAGAAAAGGGGGGGCTGCGTGTTTGTCATCCGGAGGAGCCGCGGCAGGATTCCTCAGCAGCTCCTTCTGCGGTTTTTTCTTTTTTTGTTGTTGTTTGAAAGAACTGATGAACTTCTAGACGCAGCAAGAGGACTAAGATCCACATTTATCTCCTGATCACGATTTGACTTAAAGTCTTTCCCAGTGGCAGGCAGGTGGAATCCCCCAACCCCCACCCATCGACCCCCTCTGTGCCGTTGCGCGTATCGTGACCCGCGGGTTCTTTTGGCTGCTGAGAGGGAACTGGGCTCAAGTTAGAAGAGGAGGAGGAGGAGGAGGAGGAGGGCACCGAACGAGAAGGAGGTGAGAGGAACACTTCAGAACCAAGGACAGATCCAGAACAGCTGGCTGCTCAAACATGCTCAAAGTGAACATCTGCGCCCCTCGTGCAGCTCTCCTCGCGGGTTTCTGTGGGTGCCACTGATCCGCAGCCTCGTGCGCACAAGATCTGCGGGAAGCTTCGCTTTTTGTTGTTGTTTTTGTTGAAAAGGTAAGAAACTAAACATTTAGATCAGAAAGTGTTTGTCAGCAATTGCTTGCTTTCTTTTTCGTTGTTATTAATGATGTCAGATTTAAAGTTTCCTGACATATTTGGTTTTAATCTGAGGATTCAGACACAAACAAAGTGGATTGATGCAACTTTAGATTCGATGCCTGTCGTGCTCTGGTATGTAATTAGGGATGAAAACAAACAAACAAAAAATAATAATATAATAAAGAAAAATAAATAAATCTGCATAATTTGGGTCAAATAAGGTTTAATAYCTTCCAATTTTATGAGAACAGCTGAGCAAATATTCCACTCTGCTCTATATTCAACAAACAAAGACAACCTGTTGTCAGTTTCATTCTAATATTTGTAATCTGGGTCTCAGTCTCGGTGTGTGGAATAGTTTTGCATGCATTAGTGCCCAGGTGGGAAATAACAGATGAAATGTAGCTTCTTTTTTTTTCCCCTAATTTTTGGTGGGTAAAACAGGCAGCCAGCATGGCTTCCCTGTGCAATTTTGATCAAATTATACATTTGATCCATGTTCAACACTCAAAAAAGGAAATTTATGTGGTCATTATGCAATCAGCTGTGTGCTGGTCAACACAGCGCCTTCCCTAATTCCTGCAGCTGACAGGTCCAGGTGGAGGGATAAACCCAGTCCCTGCTGGAGATTAGGATGATGGAAATCGTTAGAGGATTTCTGGAGGCTGCATTTTTTTCTTTCCCCTCTTCCTTTTTTATTTTATTTTTTTTATGGTGGGTGGGCTTGTAACTGTTTAATAAAAGTCTCTTGTGTTGAACTGAAATGTAACTTCTCTCTCTCAGAAGATCCCCCTCCTCCYCGTCCTCTTTAATCTGTGCCTGGATTTTATCTATTTATTGGCTTCCGTCACTCAACAGGCTTAATGATTCATGTGCTGTGATTTAGGCACCTAATTAAATGTCATGTCATTTATCCTCCAGCATTTAATGAAAGTGAGCTACATTCAGTAAAAGTTTGAGATGGTGCAGGCATGGATTCATGGACCAATTAAAGGAATGCCTGTTGGCTGCCACCTTTTAAAGACMRAGTTTTGGATTAAGATCATCTTTTGTCTGGAAATTATGGAGTTTTATCCTTTTGGTAACTTTAAAATAACAATATGCCCAGTTAGAGGATGTGTTAATGGCTCTCAGCTTTTACYACACCAAATTAATCTTAATAGCTGTAAAATGAGTTGAGTTGTAGACATTGTGTTTTTTAAAGTCTGCTGGCTGTGGCAGCAAACATGAGTTGAGTTGGCTCCAACAGTTAATCAGTTGTTACTGTGCACCCAGTAATTACTTTCTGGCAATTTCATTGAAATTTGMATAGTGGTTCATGAAATATTTTGCTAACAGACAATCAGGAACTGTTATTGCCAGGATTTTTTGTAAACAACGATGTCGTGCAATCAGTTCCATTTAAAGGACACATCAGTGATGATGCTCAGCTACTAGCACACCAGGTTTTAATTCAATATCTGTACAATTAGTTGAGTTGGAGCAGTTTTACTGTTCTCTAATTTCAGTTGAGTGTGGCGGCCATCTTGAATCAGATTGAGTCCGAATGTTAAACAGTTGTAGAMGTGCTTCAGGGGATTACTTTCTGAAAGTTTTCRGAAAATCCATCAAAGGRTTAATGAGATTTTTTGCTAACAGACMAAGTTTACTACGAACAGTTAATGRCAAAGTTTTAGATATAGATCTTCTGCGATCAGTTTGTGCTTCYTGTTTAGGTYGAAGAGCAGTCWCAGCTACTACCACAGAAAAATTTAGCTTAGTGTCCATAAATTTCACCAAATTATATATATTTTTGTGTTTGATAAAGATTGCTCAGTTGTGGCCACCATTTTAAAATCAAGACTCTAAAAGGTAGATCTCAAGTTATTGGTTATTTACTGAAAGTTAACTGGAATTAGGGATGTCCGATAATATCGGCCTACAGATATTATCGGTCCAATATTAGCATAAAAATGTAAAATCTCTACATATCGGTATTGGTTTTTATTCTGATARCAAAAGCTCGATAAATTTACGCCTGGATTTGACCAAAATGTGATGTTCACAATCACTGGTACGCAATTGATGACATCATCGAACTGGATTATCTCAGGGAGAGCATGATCCAAACTATTGTTTGAGACAAAATGTTAATAWTGGAATCAGAAATTAAGAGATGAACAATATTGGCACATCGAATATCRGCAAAAAGCCAATATGGAGCATCTCTAATTGAAATCCATTCAGTGGTTTATAAGATATATTACAAACACAAAAACAGGTGATGATTAGTGTCAATATTAGGATGTGTTTCTGGTCACTTAAACCTCCGTATAATTAGTATATCTGTTTGTTTCTTATTATTTAACACATATTTATCCTAATCTTTCTTCATAAATACACACATGATAACAATGTGCAGTATTCACTGATCAGTATCCATCACTGACTCTCCTCAGTGAGTCAGATCGCACACAGAAGCTATATTTAGTGAAGGAGTTACAACAATAAGGGCTGGTGTTCTCACAGCATCTTAAAGAACTCCTTTCTGTGGCGGGCAGGAACAGGAGTGCATTAGCTGACGCTTCAAAGCGGAGAAAAGCAACACCGCCTTTTTCTTTTTGAACCTGCCTTTCAGAGGGAATATTGAGCGCAGACAGCTGGAGAGCGAGTGACTCTATTGGCTGCCGGGTGGGAGTGTGACAGCCGCTTCCAAGATAGTTTTAATGATGTTATCGAGACCTGATAAAAGCTGGTACAAAGCAAAAACTGCAGGTTGAACTCCAGGCTCATAATGCAAGCTCCCATTTAATGCAGAGACTGAAAGTAAAATCAAGTCAGCTCCTTCGATTGATTCGAGAGGGTTCAAGAAGGTCTCTCTCGGACCTCCAACCTTGGCCCAGTCCATGCAGGTCAGTCTAATTGGCTGTTCCTTATTGGACCATTAATTCACACTGTGACCCAGACTTTGCTGCCACCTGCTCTGGAGGACTACATAGAAGAGCAATTACACGTCCAACGTTGAACTCTTCAAGTTATTTTCCCACCTCGGTTTCTATAAATAGGCCAAACGCGGCGCAGCAGCCCCGCAGAGCACACAAAGAGGATCTGTTTGAGACGGGTTCTACACTTACAACCTCATCTCCCGCAAATCGTCTCTGACGGAATCGTGGATTCATCGGCCCACCCATAAGGACTCCCACTCACAACCTGATGTAATATTCATCTGCAGAGATATTCAACTTTCATGACACTTCCCTCCCCTTCCTCCTTCTTCCTCCTCTTTGTTTCTCTTGTTGTTTGATGCTCCGCCTGGATTGTCATTCTTTAATGTCCCCGCAACAGCATGCAAATTCACACACACACACACACACACACACACACACACACACACACACACACAC